TGTTGTTGAAAAAAAAAAAAAAAAAAAAAAAAAGGAAATGGGTATTGTACGAGATACGGTCGGACCAACGGCATGGAGGCGGAACGGAACGGAGACTATGCACAGAAAGGAGGATGAACATGTGGATTTTTGCAAGATGTGATGACGGCATGCATTGAGGGGGGCGCTGATGGAGGTGAAGTGCGTTTTCCTCGGAACGGCGATTGACCATTTGGAAGCCCGAAATAACCGTACCATAGATACAATACATACGTCAATGCTGGAGTGCGTTTGGAAAATGAGATAGACAAGGGGACTTGGGAAGGGGTGTGGGCATGAACGAGATGGAGAAAAGGGGGAAAAGGGTGCGCCACATGGCGGACGGATAGAAAGAGGCAAGATGGGCGACAGAGTCTCTTTTCTTTTTCCGTTTCTGGCAGGATATTTCTGTCTTTGAGCCATGCGCAATGGAGGTCGTAATTACGGAGTAACTGCGGTCAGCCTTTGATGGTTCGATTATGTTGGACCTCGGGGCCGGGCTGAGCTGGCCGGGCCTAGGTTGTGACGAGGGATGGGGAGGGATGGGAGTGTGATGCGATGCGATGCGATGCGATGGATTGGAAAAAGAGAGTTTGTCCAGGGTTTGCTTTTCTTCGCAGCCACCCCTCCCTGTGCAGGATGCCGTCAGGGTTGGGCGGTGCCTGAGATCCCGCGATCCAACGGCTCTGTGTGCAGGCAGCATCGCTACTGATGCATCAATGTGACGGGTCTTGCGCCTGGTAACCACGGAGCGTCCTTGACGGTGTCTGTCCTGCTGTCCGTGTGGCATACGTGACTTGTTGCCTTCAACGTGCTCCGTGTAATACTCGGTGCTCTGTATTGTACATTTTGTGGGTGTGGTGTTGCATCATTGAGGGAATGTCACGCACCTGTCGAGGCGGCGGGTTAGACAGGACCAACCAGAAGCTTTTGGACGAGCATAAACGAAATCTACCAGCGTCCCCATTTCGAGCGTGATGCAGCAGCACCTTGTGCATTTATGAGCGTTGTCCCAGTTGTTTGCCCACAAAGGGGAGGCAATTGGATCATCTGTGCTTTCTTATCGGGTTGACTCGGCAAAGGAGGTTTGCAGCAGCGGCAGCAACAACAAATCATAAAAACCAAAAGGGGAAAAAAAAAAAAAAAGAAAAGAAAAGAAAAGAAAAGAAAAGAAAAGAAGAGCAACGAAAAAAGAGTCGCTGCATCTCGTTTCAACTGCCAGCCATTCTTCACTTGCTCAATCCAAGCAATACAGAGTCACTACTACTCCGTACTCGGTCCTCATTCCTCCATATGGCACAATGTCTGCCGCGCGCCCAGATGACTAGCCGAGCGTGAAATGGCCATCACACTCAGGGGGGCTGCAGAACACTTGACTACATAGCCGAGGCTACACAATCCAATTCTTCGCCATGGAGACGATGTGTGCAATGCAACTCGAGAGAAATGCCGACAAAAAAAGGCGGCTGCGTGCGAATGGAGAATATCAGAGACAAAGTACGGAGTGACCCCCTGGATGACCAGTGGGCAGACCTGACATGGTTGGTTGCCTTTTGGGGACAACAGTTGCTGTTGCCGGCCGAGTTTGAAAATGGCCAATGAGAACTTGGGTGCGGCGACGAGATCAAGTAGAAAATCGCCGCAATGTGGTAATCTGATTGAAACCCTTTTTTACTCCTTCCTGGCTTGTCTCGCATCGCGCCACGGATCTGTCATTCTGTCTTGCGGGGGACGAGGATATGGCCTTCCGTGGAACCACATTGCTCGTCACTGTTGCCCGACAACTGGTCCGTCACAGGATCGTCAGAACCCCAGTTTGCCAAGTTCTCTCTTTTTCCTTCTGACACTCCGTACGGAGTGAAATGGGAAAAAAACCCAATCGTCACCTTGTCGAGGACAGTGCCTTGTTGAAGCCCCGGGGTACCCTGTCGTCCGCCCTCTCGCACCCCTCCACACGGACAGTCCCCGAGCTCCGCGCTGTCAGATTCGGTTTCCTTTTCCCTCTCGTGTGTAACGGCGTAGTACTCAAACACAGGATTGAGTACGCATGCCTGTAGGTTGTACCGTAGTAGAGTGTAGTACGGAGTAGAGTATAGAGTATATAGCGTGGCATCCGAGCACTGAGTAAGCCTTCAATGTCCGTCAATTGTAGTTGCCGTCTGCGCCATGACCGCCTCGTCCGCCATCTCATTCCCTGGCTGGGCTTAGGAGGAGGAGCAACAACGTTGATAGGAGGGAGGGGAGGGAGGACGGGGGGCCAAGGTCCTTCAGCCCCATGAACTCTGTCTCTGTTGTTAGTTTATGAGACCGCCATGGCTTCCGAGAGCATCCTTACTGCCACTCCCCGGAACCGACGCCTCTCCAGCGGCTGTCGAGAAACCTGACAGTTCCCCAGTAATTTGGCACAGGCTGTTGCAAGCTACTCTGTACATTGTCATTTATTACCAGACGCTTGGGGTCAGCACTTATCATCTTGGCCATGTCCCTTTTTGCCTACCAAAAATTGCCTTGAGAAAAAAAAAAAGATTAGGTAGGGCAAAATCGAGGCCGCATACAACGACGTTTCTTCGGCCAGCATTCGGGGATCATCCACTCCTCCAACAAAAGTTGAGATGCCTGTCGATTCCAAGGCAATGCTGCTCCCGAGCATCTAACACATCTTGGCACATCTGCTGTTAATGAAAGTTCTCTGTAAAGGGCCAACCTCTTTCCGCTCTATCCCGATCTGAAACACCTAATATATTTTCGGAGTTCGGGCTAGGACTTAGTTCTGTTGGTTTGGACAATGCCGAGTGTGACCCATGTGAGGAACGTCTCCGGAGCACTTGGCAAGAAATCCGGCATTTGGGTATTCGTAGTACTGAATGCCCCGTACCATCGCATCGCTTGGTGTGTCGTCAGCAGTGCCTACAATAGACCAATGATCGGCGTGGAAGCCCTCCCCCCCCCAAAGGATGGAATGGTGAGCCACGGAGTGGTGTTGCAAATTCTCGCAACTCGGGAATCTGCGCACTACGCACCGCCATGGCCGTTTGGACGTTTAAAACTCCCATCATGCCCCTTTCGGTGTCTTCAAACACCTCCTTCGCAACCTCGAGCCTCCCCATCAAGGGGACGGTGACGGTGTATTCTAGGCGCCATCTGCCCATGACCCAGGAGAGAACCAGACAGCCAACACCTTCTTCCATCGTACAGTCAGTACCAGTCAGTATCCAGGTGTAAGCGCCACCAAGTTGGTACGGGGTGGATCGGGCCGCCACGTCACGTCGCGCCGCAACCACCTACCAAGCATGAGGAGTGACAGATTTTAGCCGCGATACGCTGCCGGCTCCAGCCTGCTCTGCCTGGGCTGGATCAGCTGCGTGCTTATCGAGGAAGCGATCAGGGATACGACAGACAGACGGTGAACCCTCGGCCCCCAAGAGGCACACACACTGTTGACTGGTCGAATGCCACAGCTTTGTTGCGCTGTCGAACACTTCCCCGGCGGATCGCGATCAACGTCTTTTAGAATACGTAGTCCTTTATTAGAAGTCCACTTATTTATCGCTGCCTTGTCGTCTTCCTGTCGTCGGCGGAGTACTACCTGTCATCTGCCTCCGCCCACCCAATTTGACTGCCATCTCGGATAATCCCAAGTACATAGTAGTAAAACTCCACGAGACAAGGGAATCCAGGCGTGCTGAAAAAG